CGTCTTTCACGACGACGCATACATTCTCTCTGTAGCAGCTTGTTTCTTGTGGTCCGACCAGGGTAGATCGTGCCGCTGTCCGTGGTTTTCCGTTTCGACGATCACCATACATACCAACCCGATGGACGTAGTAATGCTTGTTGTGTTCTCACTTGCACCACCTGTCGGGTAGCCACGTAGCTGAAAGCTGTTGGGTGACGTTTCCCGGTAGGCCTGCGTGAATTTGTACTTGTTGTCGACGCTCGTTTCTTTGTGTGCCGTGCACGTTTTGATTTGATCGAACTCTTTCCTGGAGGGGAATCGAGGCCGTTCTTTCACAGTACTGCAGATATTTATTTGTGGTAATACACACAACCACGCTTCGTAGCATATTCATCTTTATTGGACATGCGCGTGGACGTAAGAAGCCATGAGTCCGCCAACAGTAACGGATCAGGGCTCAGGTGGGCATTCTTTTTGACGTATCGAATCGGAGATGATGAGGCAGTCTAAATATAGTTGAACTCGTTGAGCACCGCGAGGAGTGAATTGCCCGTACGAAAGGTTAGCGGCGAGACGGTTGATTGTGAACAAAGGCGGGGCGTTAGAATGTTTTTCTTGGAGGGGTTGTGCGAGGCAAGGGGGACTGCAAAGTGTGGCCGAGTCTCGAAGTACAGGCATCGTTCGGGTGACGCAGTGCCTACACCGATATTTTTCCGACGGATGGGGTGCCGGGAAATATGAACGGTAAGGGAAATATGGAACGACCAGAAGAAGGGATGGTGGAAAGAGAAGGACAAGATGATTGTTACATCATCTAGTGTGATGACTATGACACCTCGGTGGCACGTACAAGCAATAGAAACGGATGAGAGTTACCAGTAACTGAGTCGGGCTTGGTTGTCCATCTGTTCGACGCCTCCTGGCATGGGGAGGGGGACGTGAAGGACGGATAACTTCTTGTAGGCGGCACCGTATTCTACAGTCAGTAATATGTCGGTGGAACTCGCGGCAAGGATGCGCGAGCCGGACGAAACCAAACGAAAGCTGTTTCTACCGTCTTCGGGCAAGGAGATCAACTTGGTTCCGACAATGGTGTGGGGTGGGGAGCAAATGGGAAGGAATAAGGAAATCAGACTTGTTGCGATATCCTTTCGGCCGAAGCGTGTCGACGAGAAGGCTATCCACACGATTGTTGTTTTTTTAGATTGACATTATTTCTCAGCGGTGTTATTTTCTGCAGGGGGGAGTGATGCATTTACTCACGGTGTTTCAGTGCCAAATCAGCCATGAGCATGTGGTGGAACTTGCTGTAGTTTAGTCAATGAGATATTTAATTGTCGGGAGTGACGTGGCGACATTCATATTTTATTTGAGGGTGGCTCAATGTACGATGGTGAAAGGCGTTTCAGTATCGACACGTCTGGTGGGTTTCATTGCAGGTTGGCGGTATTCTACAGGTTCATTGGTTGCAGAAGGAAGTGATGCCTTCTTTCACAGCGCTCCTGTGCAAACATCCTCCCTGAGCATGTGGTGGAACTTTCTGCTCAGGGAGTGACCCCACGGCATTTACATTGTCTAGACTGGCTTTATTTTTTGCGTTGCATTGTAAAAAGACGTTACAGTAATATGCGATATCAACACGTCTGGCGGGTTTCATAAAAGATTGGCGTAGTCAGTAGAAGGTTCATTGGCTGTAGAAGGAAAAGGCCTTCATTCACAGCGTTCCTGCACCAATCAGCCATGATCATGTGGCGGAACCGTCGGCAGCATAGTCTATGTAGCATGTTTTTGGTGCGAGTGACGTGACGACATTTACATTTTGGGAGTAGCTGCATTTGCGTTGTATTGTGAAAGGAGTTACAGCAGTACCAGCACATCTGGTGGGCTTCATTGAGATTGGCAGTTTTCAGCAGAAGGTTCACTGGCTGCAGAAGGAGGTGATGCCAAATCAGCCAAGGGCATGTGGAGGAACATTCTGAAATATGTGTGTATTCATTTCGTTACGTGTAAACACATTGAAATTACAGGTGTAGTAAAACCTACATGTCTATGATGCTGCTGCCGCTGTGAAAGCTGTCTTCTCTTTAGGGAACAACGGCAGACAGGGTGCTTGCTTGCTGCACCCATCTTTGCGCTGTCAGTTGCAGGAAGACCACATTCATTCATTCATTGCTGCTGCTGACAGGGGCTTTCGCTACATAGCATTGTGAAAAAGCGTTTCAGTAGTATCAGCATGTCGCCTGGTGGGCTTTATAGAAGATCGATATAAGAAGGTTCGTTGGCTGCAGAAGGAAGGAATGGCTTTTTTCAATGTGTTCCTGTACCAAGTCAACAAAGGGCAGGTGGAGGAACATTCTGAAATATGTGTGAAACAATTTGGATGGGTAAACACGTTGGCATTGCTGCTGGCTGCATGTTCATTGTATTGTGAAAAGGCGTTACATCAACACGTCTCCTAGGTTTTGTAGAGTTTTGGGGGTATTCAACAAAAGGCTCATTGGCTGCAGGAGGAAGTGATGCCTTCATTCACGGTGTTCCTGTGCCAATCAGCAAAGGGCGTGTGGGGGAACATTATGGAAAATGCGCATATTCATTTGGTTGGGTGCACACATTGTCATCATTACTGTCGGCTGCATTTACAGTGTTTTTTCAAAGAGCGTTACGGTAGTGTCATTAGCGGCAGAAGGGGGCGATGCCTTCATTCACTTGTCATTAGTGGCAGGGGCGATGCATTTTTTCGCGGTGCTGCTATGTGAAATCAGCAAAGGGCGGCATATGGTGGGACATTCCGACAAATGTTTGAAAAATATTTCGCCGGGTGGAGACATGGACATTGGGGGATGGCTGCATTTTCGTTGCCTAAGGTGTACTATCTATTGTGACTCGGCGTTCCAGGGTCGTTTTGCCTGTGTTGTAGATGGATGGGATAGCTTTCAACCATGAATACAAATGAAGCAGGCACGGTACTCCGGGCAGATGATCGTCGAAGGGTCAACGTTTCATAGAATGAAGCGCCTCTCGTACCTTCATTTGTGTGTGCGCATCATCTTCGTAGCCGACTCACAAGCTCGACCGTACCGTCGTATGAGGGGTGATTCGAGCGGAAGATCCACATCCATTTGGTGCTTAGCTAGAGTTGAAGATACAGGCAGACTACGACATGCGGCTAGCGTGCGGCGAATGAATCTATTCCACGGAACAGAGGCTCATATTGGGCCCTCATTAGCAAGGCCAATGAGGTGTCTTGTCAGTCACTCTCTGGTCATGCAACCACCGCAGCACATATTGAGCAGGCCGGGGTGCTTCTCGCCACGTCAGATAAGGAGGAGGACGCAAAGAGAGGAACTGAGACACCATGAGTGTAGACAAGGCCAGAGGATACAACATGAATTCGTCTGTTTCAGTAGGGCAAAGACAATTCCAGGCCAGCTACTTGCCTGTTTGCTAATCACGAAAGTATATTTGGGAGCCAATCAGATTAATCCAGTTCCGGCATGGAACACCACCAATTGTAGAGCCCCCGAAGTTACTTGAAATCGGTTCCCGTTGGCGCTTCGCTCTCCAAAAGCAAAAACCTCTCGAAAGGACGTACAGGACAGGCAAATTCGAGACCGTACCTCCCGACCAACTGCGATAATACCATATTCCTTCCCTGTTTGTTGTCTATCTCTTTTCACCACAATGATCATTTCCCTACAAGGCACGTCACCGCGGCGCCACTTTTACGCCGAGGCCAAATACCCAGGGCGAGGACCCCCTGCTGGTCCGCCAACCGGGCGGCAGGAGGCCTCATCCAATCTAATACTTTCATCAAGTGATCGACCAACGGTGTCAAGAATATAACAGAAAAGCGACCCGCTGTTGTCGGGCAATATCCAACGGTGAGAGAGAGAACCGATGTGTCTCCCATACTTTGACAATGTATACATGCTGTACCCATCTCAGCTGGCATCGAGGCCGCCCGGTGAATTGATGACCACACGCAGCTTGGTACTCGATTGAGCAGTCGACATACTTCTACGAGAGTACCTAAATTGGGCGGAGGTGGCTTGATAAACAAGGTGGGCTTTTCCAGCTCTTCAGTGGAGCTCGCGCGTGCCCGCCAAAAAATGATAATATCTTGCACCATGCAATGAAAAAATATAGGTGGAAACATCGCCGTTAGTTCGGCCGAGAACGTACATACACAGAGCAACAGACTACCACGCAGTGTAGAGGATGCTGCGTCTAATGTTGGACGCATGGCCAGGTGGGATCGGGAACCGCGGGAGCATGGGGTCGGCATGTGTTGCAATAGGACGCTAGCTAGCCTTGATGGTTGGGGGGCCCTTGAACAGTGGTACAAGGAAAGCCTGATACCTTTCCAGCGCCGTTTTCAATGGAGAGGTTTTCGACGAAAAATCCAAATAGTATGCGCTTCTTATTTCGCCGGGCAATTCGATTGATTATCAATTCCTTCGTGCAACCTGCGATCTCATTTCATTTTCATGAGACCGGAAGAGATACGAATGCAACACATTCTTGGTGAGCGCAGACACGCAACATTCAACCATGTTGTGGATCCGTCCTTTCAGTTTCAGATCGAATTTGGTTTGTTTTTGCTCGGCTGTCTCCGCTGAACTGAGCGTCTCAATCTCTCGACCGCACTGCCCCCTACCGCGGGCTCGAGACGCGAAACGCGAGCCGACGTTTGAGCACGCTGAAGCGCAACCACTATTATTGATATCCTTCCATATGACGCTTCCCCCCAGCCTTTTTCACCACAGGCATATTATATTCTGAACCTGCATCACATTCTGCGAAGCCCTCAAAAGCGCGCTCATATCGGCGAGGGGAGGCAGTGGTTCAAGGTGCGGACGCTACGTGCCCACCAACATCACACGGCCGACAGGCCAACACACGCGCGCAACCACAGAGACGGCCCAAACGCAGAGGCACAGCGACACACACAGCAATAAAACAACGTGTGATGGGCCGGTTCTAGTCTCATGCGTCTAAAGTAGCATCAGATGCGTCTATATTCACACCCACTACCCCTCTAGAGATTGAGGTTTCCGGCGGGGAACATGTCCGGGTTCTTGTGGCTGAGGGTCCTGTGCAGAAGGTAGGTCGACTTCCCCTTCGCATTGAAGTCGTCGATGTAGCCGTGCACGATCTTCTTGAACCTGCAAGAGGGAGATACATATGAGGGTGGGACAATCAGCAACCGCGATCAGCGGGATCCTTGTGCTGTCTGACGATTCCCCCCCGCGTATGTGCACCACGTTGTAAAACCATGGACAACGATCGTTTTTGAAGCCTCTTCTATTAAAACGCAACGGGGGCTGGTCGGCGCTGGCTTCTGCGTGCGGCCACTCTCGAAAATGAGGCAGCCAGCTGAAGGCAAGAAAATCACGGAGAGAGTCAAGGAGTGATTTCGGATAGATCTGCGGCCGAGAGTGACAGACGGATCGAGAACAGAGTCTTACCAGTTAACCAGCAGGCAAAGGTTGATACGTACCTGTCGTCCTCGTCTCCTTGAGCGGCGATCGTGCGGGCATGGTTCACTGTCTCATAGGCCTGCAGCGCCCTGTCCTTCGCATTGCGTTCTCTCGCCTGCGCGACGAGAGAGACGACGCATCCACGGAACGGCGAAAACAGTTGACGTTTGCGGTGGAAGTCTCAACCAACGGCGGGTCATGGTCCAAAGCTTGAGGCAAAGCGAAAACATTCACTGTTCTAGCTGTGGGAAGGAAATGTTCCCGCAACCATCGCACACAACCGCTTATCACAAACGTCTCTGCAACATGCAGGCACCGACCTGCTTCCCGTTAGGCTCGGGGTGTTAGGGTCGCGCGTACGTCGTACGTCAACAAAAGTTGATGTCCTAGCCCAGATGTGATATATTGGAGGCAAAGTAGATACTTATGAAACTCGGGGACGTGTGCTCACGGGGGGCACCCTCAACGCGGTAACTTCCAGCCCAAGCGTAATCCCTTTTGCTGCCCTGATTCTCCCCATAGTGACCATGGGTAAGCTGACCTTGTTTAATCACCATCAGAGTTGTATCGGCCCTAACAAAACGTCGACTCTCACACGAAAAAATTCCTAACGTCTGCTTGGTCTGATTCTCACAAGGGTGCGCAAAACGTTGACATTCGTTGATTGCTTGTCGATTTTCGTCAAACCCTCCTCGGTCATTTTTGACTTGGACATGCAGACTTGGGTGAGATTTCCATTCGCAAGTCATCCAGGCTGGCTGTGTAGAGTTTACGGCGGAGCTTGTTTCAACGATGAGTCGAAAAGGATGAAATAACGCAATCCAGACCAGGGGCAAAGTCCGCATGATCAAGATGCGCCTAGAGCCCCGTGCAAGAAGCAACAACGACAGCACCAACGTTTCGGCTTCCCCCCGTCTACCAGAAATTCCATTACCTGAAGCTTCTGAGAGTTTCTCAATTGCTTCTCGCGCGCCAACCTAGCCGCCGCCTCCTCCTTGTCCAGCCGATCCATCTGTGTGTGTGGAGGGGTCATGTTGGCCCAAGGTAAGACATAGGTTTCAGAGCTGATATTGCCGTTCTATCGTTGAACGCCGTCCGTTCTCGCGGGCAGCCTCTGCAACGGAGTGGACTCACGCCGCGCTCTACATGCCCATGCAACATGCTCGACTTCGGCCCCCCGCACAAAACACTACGCCATTGTGCATGATGTTGGTTGATCCAAAAGGAAACAACCACTTCGTTCAACTGTTTGGGTTGTCTCGGCAGGGTGTGGTAAGTGGTGATGGCTGTTATGTGATGCCGTGCATTGACGATGTTGCCTGGGTATTAGCGAGAAAACACCGAGAATCGGGTTTCTTGACCCCAGGAACGATTGGATTCTAAAATGAAGCAGAAAGACTATCGCTTAGGCGTGGGCATCGGTGGCGGGTGTTGAACCCACGAGACTCCGGGCGACCGTGGATAAGCAATGGCCCTCAACGTCACAGGCAAGGGTTGGTGAAAGGGTTCTTTGTTGCACTGACCTCGCTGGTTCTCTGTCGGAAGTAGGCATTGATCTCTTTGTCCTCAGCGCGCTGAGCTTCTTCTTTCTCCGCCCTCTGCCTGATCTGAATCGCCCTGGCACGTTGATATACGCCCATTCACGGTTGTCAATTGCTGTTGTTGTTTTCACAATAAGTTCATCGTTCATGTCGCCTCATCGTTGCTGTCGTTGCTTTGATTCATTATCATCGTGGATGTTGACCGGTACGTGGGTTCAACATGCAAGTAATCGTGTTCGATGGGTTCTCCGTGTGCTCGCCAGAGCAGCACTGAACCCGCCACGCAACGGGGACAACATCTCCGACAACAAGACAATGATGCCGGCGATCGGGCGGAAAATCTCAAGGTGCTCATGTTCCATTTTCTTCCTCGAAAAGGAGCCCCCAAAGTGTACGCCGGGACGCCCTCGCATCAAATCACGCGGTACACAACGGTGTCTGAACATCTATCGATCTCCGCAGGTATTTTTTAGTACTGTGCGCGTATACTTTCATGGGCGGTCTTGTGGGTAGGACATCGCAACCAACACGGTGTGTAAACTGTTATTGTTTCATTATTCGTTCACTTCCCGCGCCAAATACTGCTGCGACTCTGACTCCCACCGGCGTTCTAATCTGCAGCGCGACGTGCCTCCAACAACGGTGTTGTCTTGCATCATGTGGTGTTTTGCCGTTTGCGCTTGCTTGTGAGAAGCATGCGCCCCCCCTCGCGCGACTGAAAATGCGGCCGCACCTCCACGTCTTTCTCCGGCGCGGTGGTTGAAGCAGCGTAGGGGTGTGGCACCCCTGCAAGTCATCTTGTTTTCTCTCTCTATCTCTCATACCTGCTCTTATCAATCTGAAGGCGGAGTTCTTCCCTGGCCTTGGTCTTGCTGGCGGCCGCGTCGTCTTCCTTCTGCCGCTGCTGGAGAGCCTGTGACAACAGTGCCCCGATCGACGATGTCCCACGCGGTTGTCTATATGGAATACCGTATTGACCTCTGCCTGCTGCACTTCCTCGTCCAGACCATTCAAGAGTTGATTAAGGGCTTTAAGGGGTCACACGCCCGCCGGAACAAGGGCACAAGTATACTGCAGAATATCGTCGGAAAGGTGCGAACACACTGAAAAAGCTCTTGAGACAACGCGGTAAGGCATGCATCTTCAACGTCCCGTCCATGCTAAAAGTCGACAATTTCCCTTCTACTACGCTGTGGACGAAACCGTTCAGCGTTACTTTGAAAGAGTGGCGGGAAGAAAGGCGAGTTGACATGATTCAACCCAATGCCGCTGTTTCAATTTCCACCGTATCCTCTCCGTCTCTACGCGATCAACATCCATTTGCACTAGCCACCCGAACGGCATAGCCTTGAGTACTGACAGGAGATATCGTAAGGCGCATTTTTTCAGGCCCGTTTCGGGTCGAACGGTCGGCGTTTTGGCGGAAGGGTCCGTGATCGCTGGAACCAGGGCTACGGTCCTCGGCAGAGATAACAGTAGCTTCTGGGAACCAAGGCAAGCCGGTGACCTATGTACCTACCTCTCTCTCTTCTTTGTTATCCTCGGCCTTCCTGCTGGCTTCGAGCTCCCTCGTAGCCTTGTCGATCATCTGCTGTCTTATTGCCTGCCGACGAGGAGCGCGTCAGCGGGCGGGGTGGTCGCGTCGAAATTAAGTGTTGGTGATAGGTTTACGACGTGTTTGGAGAAGCTACAGTAGGGTCAAGAGCAGGACCTAGACAACGCGTAAAGAGCATGAGGTCAACGACGACGACGACGACGACGACGATGAATCGCCAAATCTTCCGGCACCTGTTTCTCGTTGAATCGCTTGGCCTCAAGGCTCTTCCTAGCCCTCGCCGCCCTGTCCAGCACGTCCCGCTGCTTCCGGCACTTCTCCATGTACTACACCCAAACGTTTTGCAAAGGTCAAGCAGAGCGGGTAAGCGCTAAAATCGCTTGCCTTGCTATCGGAAGCAAAGGCCGCTCTAAACACACGGACAGAGAAGAAAAACAACCAAGTATCGACCTCATCTCACACCATCACGGCTCCGCGAATGGGACCTCGGGTTCCCCCAGGGGTATGACCAGCCATGTCCATTCCTTGACCCGGAAAAGTGCCAAGACACCCGTGTCAGTTTCCTCCCTCAATATCCTTGACCGATGCATACACGTCCAGCGAAAAACGTTTCCTGCCGTACCCAGAGCAAAGCCTACTGTGCTTGCCGCCCACCTGGCGGCCTACTACTCTCCGTAGAAGCGGCATCGCGAACGCAGCTACTTCGCCAAGTGGACTCAAGATGGAGCGCCGTAGGAGCGCAGCGCTCACTCTCCGAAGCACGTCGCTCGAGCGACCTCCAAGCTACTCACACTGAAGAATACGATGGTTACAATTGTAACGTCTTCCCGACAACTCTAGACTATGCGTGCACCGCTCTCGCCAGACGGGTTGTTGTGTGCTTGAGGGATGTTGTTTGTGGGAATCATGCGCTCACCGCCAACTCTTCCGATATTCGCTCCGCTCTCCTTTGGTGCAGGTCCTGGTTTACCGCGAGCATCTTCTCCATCTCCGCGCGGTTCTTGAGCTTGAGGGCCCTCTTCTCCTCCTCTTCTGCTTCGATGGCGGCCTGAACACCCGCAATAAGCAGAACCAATTGTTGACAACCACAAAGTAGACATCCACGACGATGACGACCACGACGACGACGAAGACGACGACAACGGAAGATAGCCACAACGACAACAACAACAACAACAACAACAACAACAACAACAACAACAACAACAACAACAACAACAATACTAACAGAACAAGATGCTTGTCGGCGCGCGACTCGCCTTAGCCGCCCTCTGTGTCTCGTCTCCGTCCTCCTTCACCTTGACCAAGCTCGCGACGTACGACGCCTAGCGAAAGAAAAACAAGCAATGACAACGTTCATATAACGAAGAGGGTATTCGTGAGCACATCAGAGACTGTTAATGAAGTCGACACGGGAACAAGACTAGTACACAAAGTGTCGTTTCTGAGAGGCGTCGATACTAGAAGGTAATGAGCGGACCGGTACGGTTTATTGATGTCAAGACAACATCATCATCAACAACAACAACAACAACAACGCCGGCCATATGTTGAGATGTTCTCCTTCCTATCCCGGCTGGACCTCGGCAACGCCGATCGCGCTTCCCGATAACTGCACCCCATCCTATTTGTGCCGCATGCCTTGGAAGCGTATGTAATGCGGACGTGCTGAAAGATGCGCCGACACCATTGAGAGCAACACCTCTCGCAATGCCAGAAGTGCCATCAACCAGCGCCGGTCTAAACAGCAATAGTCTTACGCACTTGAAGGAATAAAGTCGTGGGTACACTACCAGCACATCCTACGAGCCGCTCGGCAGCGTACTTGGAACTCGTGCAGCTGTCGCTGCTGGTCCCTGGCCGTCGTCCTCGCCTTCGCAGCACGGGCGTCAGCAGTGGCCTTTTCCGCTGCATCTCCCTCGGTAACCTGCTTTGTTTTTTCCCGAGAGCCACACACATGACGCGTGACACGAGAATGCGTAGATTTCGCCGCGGCCTCACCGACAGGCTCATGCTCTGTGCTGTGGTTAGAGGTTTGGGAAATATGTAGTCGCCCAACGGAATATCAAGACAAGGAAACAGCATCACCCCGTGTGGTTCGGTTACTTTCCAGCTGTATTTTCCGCCGTACTCCGTTCAAATCATCACGCTCAATGCATCGCTCGCTTTGTCCTCCACACGCAATTTTCAGCACTCCGCAGGCTTTCTCTCAGTAGCATCATTCCCACCCGCCACCCGACCCGAGACTCTTGTGTCGCTTTGATAGTGACCACAGTGACTGCGTGCAGGCCTCCGAGCGTTTCGCGTCGCGTCTTATTTTGCACCTCGTAAACCATCCGTCCCCCCCCCTGACATCACAGTCGTGCTTGTCAGGCGGTCTTCTTTCATCGCCTTTGCTGATCCTTTACGTCATCCGAACAAGCCGATACACCCGGACTATCGAACGAGTTCTACCCCATCGTCTGCGCGCGGAAGTACCACATCTACAGATACATGCAAGGTTTGGATAAGGTCTGATCCACCGTGTACTTCTCATCCTCATACAGTGTGTGTCGTATTCTCTTCCTCTGTGTCATAAATCACCACACCTTTCTGATAACCTCTTGGTGGTAAGCCGCAGCCAGGGCTTGCGCGTCCGTGTGCCGCTCTGCCTTCTCGGCGATCTGTTCCTTTCGTGTCTGCGCGGGGGGCAGGTCGAGGTCAAGCGCCACACACAACGAACACACATAAGTTCTGCTCCGTTGATGAAGCACCACCAACACGGCCCTCCCGTAGGGGAATCAACGTGCGTGTGGCCAGCCAGGGACACATCGCATACACCATCAATGAGTTGTAGGATGGTATTCCTCCGATGGATGCACGCTGTTGACCCTTGCTGCATTGATCCCTGCAAAAACATTCGTGTCGTAATGGGCTGGCCCCCCGCGTACCAGGGGCGACGAGAATGAATCTCGGCACAACAAGAGCCCTCCTCTTTGTCCGAACCCCCATTGTTGTCCTCGGGCTTGCTGTAGTCAACAAGTGCGAGTTGTTTCGGATTCAGAACACGTCGTTTCGAAGGAGAATCTGCCATACTTCGATCCCCCCGCGGGGGGACTTACGACACCACCGTCGATCTGGAGTCCTTTGGTCCGAGAAGGCGGGTACTCATAAAAAAGCGTGTCGTCGTCGTTACACCATTGGCCTCGTACCCCTACATTGCGGGGACGGAGGTATATGCCGGGTCTCGCCTGCCCAGGCTACGTTTGACAAGGATAAACCAGAAGTTGGTCACCATCTTTACGTGTGAGTCCATTAGTTAGGGGGAGGGCGGGGTGGCGAGTGAAACTCCTGGTCACACCCGAAAGCGTGATCTATTAAATCTGGAGCTTCGTACCTCAATAACTTCGGCGTAGAGTAAGTTGCTTCTCAGTAGCTTCATCTTCCCGGTCTGCTCGTACAGCTTGTCGTTGGCCCTCTTGATCGTCTCGGCTCTCATCTGGCGCTGCAGGAGAGCCTCCTCTTTGTCCACATCCCTTCGTTTTGCCTCCACCAGATCCTCTTGCTGTTTCTTCCAATTCTCCTGAGAGGCCAACGTCAGGAGTAAAACTTCTTCGTCAGAGACGCCGTCAAGAGTGCTTCGAAGTGGCCTGCACCGCCTTGCGTAAGGGCCGCCGTGCAAGGTGTGCAGAGACGCTATTGAAGATTCACGCGAGTGATTGCATAGGTTTGGTTTACTCTTTGAGCACGACACAGATAACCCGTATGAAACATTGTTTCGTGTTTGGGTGTTCGGGTCTCTCGACCACTCCCAACCTTGCGATCTCTTCTCCACCGTCCTTTGGTGGCGCTTGCCTCACACGATCATGGCGGGAAGTATTCAGCCATCCTTATCTCTCACCGACGTCGAAGTCGATTGAATATGTGTATCCAGGAACCAGTCCATTGTTGGGCATGGCATGAGAACGAAAGGCTTTGTGTGATTGCGCCAGGATTCGAAGTCAAGTCGCACGTCAAGGGCTTCGAATCCTGTGAGCCGTAACAACACGCAGGGAATATCGTGCTAACCCCTTCGTGACATTTTTCCATGCTGAAACCACCTCATCCGACTACAAGTATCTCGCTAGATCGTAATACAGGGTTTGATATCTATTGTGTGTTGAATACTGTATGAGAGCGGAAGAACGATTTCCCCAAACTCTTGCAGAAAGCTCCCACACTTGAAAACTTACAAAAACTCAACATCTAACAACTTTGACCACCATTCGTGAGCTCGGCTAAGGACCTCACCCAAAACTAGAGGTTCTTAAGTGCGGGCGTTTCCCGTACTGTGCCGTTGTGCGGTGCAAAAGGGTCGAATCAATCTGTGTTCCACGCGTTGATTACTTTCCGAATATTCACCTTGTTCTGTCGCTGCGCCTCGAGGGTGTTGGGCCAGTGGCTCACGCGCTCGTCAGAGAGCACCTTGAGATGTCGGCGACGGGCATCGGCATCCGTCTCGGGGGTCTTGGTAACCTTGGATCGAATACGATCAAGCTCCGCCTATAAAACAGGGCATGGGAGGGACCGAGGGTTGTTACGAGCCTTACCGTGAAGGACCTCTTCTTCTGCGTGTGTACTAATGTGTGTGTGTTTATTTTTTTCATCCACCGTGCTAACCGGCTGACCAATGAAAAAGCGTCAATCTCAGTGCGGTTGAAAACACGAAACACTTCAAAATGTCATGAACTGGGACCCCGTGAGGGGGCGGTATGGGGGGGGGCAAGTTGTGTGTGTGTGAGTGTGTGTGTTGGTCCAATCTATTATGGCGCCGGTTTACAGGCCTTTCGGCGTTTACGCGTGATCTATGAGCCGGGGTCACACAAGGGGGAGGTCAACCAGGAGCTGTTTTTTTCTTTTTTGTATTGCCCCACCGTTCTCCCTGCGGTGCTTGCATTGGGTTTGATCGCTAGAACGGTTCAGCCAGCCCTTTCCCTCGTCGACCGTGAAGCCAAAGTGTGTTTACTCACGACCTAGATCGCTGTCGACTACGGGTTGCTGGAAATAGATTCCGGGAAAAGAACCCTCCGCGGAGAAAATCGAACCCACACCCTGCTGATAGGATCATGCGGCTGTATACTCTGGCATGCATGCATGTACATACGATCAAAGAGATACTACATCTGTCTAAGAGAATGCCCGGTTTGATGGTATGTTTTTGTAAAACATTTCAGCGAGTATTGAGGGAATTTACTTCAACTCGTGCGCATGATACGACCGAAGCATCGATTTTCGATCAATGTTGTTTGTCGTTGACCACTACGTTGTATATCTCTCCCTTCTTCCCCTCGCTCCTCGACAAGCTTTTGCTTAGACATGGGTTGTAGCGAAGGGGGGGGTCTTTCTGGCGAGCAGGGCTAGACTCACCCTCAAGGGATGACCGAAACCTTCTTGCTGCTGCGCATCCGCCGCGAGGCGTGCGTGTGGTGGTGGAGTTGGGTCGGCACTGATGGGGTCAGGCGGGAAAATGTAGATGCGCGGGCCTTTCTGGCCGTCGGCGTTGGCAGTGATGCCCATCTCATTTTTGTGCGCGGAGGCAGACATCATCAGAAAGGTGGACGGGCACTACACGGCCCTAGGTTTGCTAGAGGGAGCTGTATTGCCTCAGTAACCTGGCTTCGCCATCAAAGGAGGAGGGAGCAGGTGGCGACGAGCTGAACTAGGCTGGTTGACCATTCGGCGCGAGAATTTTTATTTTTTTCAGACCAAGAACCTTGAGTGCAATGAGGGAGAAAGCGAGGAACGGACTGGGAAGGACAGCAACGAGAGCGTGTACGGACGGAGCAGGTCGAGTGGCGTTTTGCTCGGGCTGACTACAGCGGCGCCGGATGGAGCAATGGCACCGGAGCATGCGGGCGACATCGACCCGTGGCGCACGGACAAACATTTCTATCTGATCTGTGTTGTCAATTTTTCTCGTTTTTTTCCTGACTTTCCGTGTTGGTTTTGTGTGATGACGTCGTCACCGGTTTTGTAGAGTGACCCGTCAGAGATGGCGTGGCTAACCCGGGTGCATTGGTTTTGTGCCTGATCGTGGAAGACCCCTTCAATGTGGAACGATTCTTAGCTAGTGTCGATATTTTTCACTGCAGTGCCTAACACAGACGATCGGGAGAGATTCGGGTGATTGTCAATTGCTGCTATGATGGCTTTGGTTGGTTGTTCTTTTTCACTGTACGGCCGCAGACACATTCTGACAGCACTTCAGACAGCAGCTTTGTGCCCCGCCAGCTGCTTGTTCCATGCCTACCATGGTGTTTTTGTACAGACAGCACTTCAGACAGCAGTATGCTGTAGTCGGCAATCTTCCGTTTTGGTATAGAGTGGGACAGGGAGGGGGTGATGCCACTGTAGTCGAACGGTGGGACGGACGTGCAGTTCAGTTTTTGGGCACGCATACGGTGCTACAGGGATTTTTAGGTGTACCTCTTCGGGCTCTTGGATACCTTTTTCTCGTTATATGTGTGCGTGTTCTTTAGATCCTCAGATGGCTCTAGCACTTTCGTGACCACGGGCTGAGAGTCTTTTGCTAGATTTTGTCATTTAGCAACTGACATACGGTTTAATGTGAAGACAACAACAACAACAACAACAACTTCGCATGCAGGCAGCCGTTACCCTCCTACGTAGGGGTATGGACTGGTCATTACGCCAGTGGAATGGCCTCTGTTCCCTTGTTTGTCGGTTTGAGCAACACGACACCCACTATTGAAAATAAGGGGTTGAAAGAACAATCGACTTTGACGCTGACTCTTTTCTCATACTTGAGTCCAATTCAAAGAAAGAAAACCACCTTCCCGCCTGTGTTAGCTGATGCGTTCTACTGTCATCAGCAGAGGACACAATCAAAAGGCGTCGTGCGTTGGAAGGTAAACCACGCGGGGTGCAGCAAGCCCGTCCTGGGCGTTACTTGGGGCACTAGGTAGTCGGCCGTGTTAGGCCGAGAGAGAGAGGTTGAGAGAGGTGGAGAGAGAGTGGGAGAAGGAAACTTGATTGGAAGAGAGACGGCGGTGACGGTGGAAAGAGAGAAGGAAGAAGGAAACTTGATTGGAGAGAGACGGCGGTAGCGGTGGAGGGAGAGGAGGAAGAAGTGCGCAGCACGCACGCAAGCCTCATCGTACCAACCGCGCCAAAAGCGTCCCCGTGACTGCACCGGTAGTACCCTACAACAGACGAAATTCCCAACACGTATCCCCTTGGGATCCTCACGACCAGATACTGCTGCGAGTATATATAACATGCGTGCTGGCACGTTCAGGTTTGCTAGCATGCCGGAGCTGAAATATTGAAGGTCGCAGTAGCCCTTGAAAACAACCCGAAGCCTTCGCCGGAACAAAGCGGAATCCAACATTCATCACAGCCGTGTTCAACGCCACGGACCGTAAACCCGCAGTTCAGGAGATTGTGGTCAGTGGCGGCGAGCACAAGCAGTACGAAACACTGGGTGTCGGTGTAAGATTTTGCGGGGATTGCACGCTGTATTGGACATGGTAGGCCACTACACTACTACTGCTGTACCACCCTCGATATTTCAGCTCCAGCAGCAAACCAGAACCTGCCATCACATACGATGCCTCTTCATGGTGTCCTCTTCTGATAACAGTCTAACCAAACAACAGCTACACTATTCGCAACACCGGCCGTTTGAGCGCCTGCCGTTTTGGCTCCTTTGACTTGAATTTAGGGTAGTGTTCATTTTTTTCTTGACTTCAAGGGAAGCGTGCGGAGGCAGACGCGTGAAACGTATGTTTTAAGCAACGTCTACTGCTGCCTTGTGCGATAATCAACGATTTCTTTTCCGCGATGCCTTCGGACTGGTCTTGTGTGTCTCTTGTGCATTTGCTGGTGCTCTTGCGTTTGTTTTCACAAGCATTTATGACATGTACTGCTGTACATGCAGTCTACATCAATTTTGTTAGTCTTCCATCCATTAAACTTTCATCTAGGTTGCCCCAACGCACGCTACTGTACACGCCGGAAGTCCTGAATAGAACATTGAGAAACGCGTACGCCGGGCAGTACCTTACCTGTGTCAGTACAACGCGCTCGCTCTTGACGGGCATGGCCCTGCGCAGTGCTGGCTGTTGCTGCTCAGTCAATCTAAGTCTAAGTTGATCTATATTCTCACCGCTGCCTGTGTGTGGAACACACGCCTACCGGAACAAGAACCACCGCGCTCACCCCGTACAGGCTCGTTGGCACTGTGACAGCTGACGAACCAATGTTTGTCACCCCCCCTTCCCCCTAAATCGTTGTGCTCTCCGCCCCTGACCGAGCGATTGCGGCGCAACCTCCTCGTGTGCATGCTGCAGTTACACATTTTTCCATCTCTGTACGAACTCCCTTGAAGTGTAACCGCCCACACACGCTTCGACGTACGTGGACAACATGATCTGTGAGGCCCATATCTAGTGTTTTGCAATCCGTATTGTAACCACGGGTTAAGTCCACCAGGTTGAGCTTCACCGCCTTCGTAGCTGCCACAACAGTACGTACACATTGGTGGGTCTCTGCGCGTTGTTAACGGCGTCGATCATCTACAGAGCAGATCCTGCAACAAACATGTTCGCAGCGGCAAAAAACCTTGGCCAAGGAGCTGATGGCATGGGAGACCTGCTGACGCGGCTCCGCGCCCGAGAGAAGGCTCGCCATGGTGCACAGGTGCAGGTGGTAGAGAGGACTACTTCTGTAGCATACGTCGAACGGAGATGGATTCAATGGATGAAAGTGGCGCACACATTCGAGGCAGCGTGTGTATATTCACGACTCTCGCTACTAATATTTTTGCTGTCACGACGGCATGATTTGGTGCATGCGTAATAATGTACCAAATAGAGGCGTTGTTGCATGCTCTTGCATCTTAGGGGGACTTTCTTCGTTGGGGTGTTCGCATTGATCTTGTCAGGTTCCACACTCTGGGCCAACGATAACATTCTCTATCGATCCGGCACACGACCCGTCGAACGCGAATCTGCGGCACCGACTCTAGACCAAGCTGTATCGAACGCGCGCAACAACAGTCTAACCCTCAACAGGAATTCCCACCCGCAGCGGACAGCGGTATCTGTCATATCACCTAGAAGTGAACAAACCGTTGCTAGTGAGTACTCGTGGGAAGGACGGTCGCTCTCGGGTTAAAAGATTAGGACAGGCATTCTCTGTGTGTACACCGGATTGGGGAGAGAGGCAGGATTGTTCGATACCGTTGCACAAGATACCACACCCCCTCAGCCCATGACCGCCTTTCAAAGCTCGATTTCCACGACGACGTGGATGCAAAAATGAAACAACAAAAAAACATGAATTTTCGAATCATTCTAGACGAGATGGTCTAATGCTGACTTTATCCTACGTTACTGTGTTTTCTGCAAGGAAGTACATGTAGTCGAGCTTTGAAATAGGTCTAGGGGGTGTGCTATCTTTCGCAACCTGCAGTAGTTCCGACAGAGCTACAGAAACGAAAAAAAAATCAGCTTGCTCATGCTGCCGTTGATCAAGGCCCCTCACTCCACGTACATGTTAGTAGACGCCACCAGCATTCTTTGGATACTAGAATATGGCCTCGACCAAGCGTACGCCTCTTGACGTAGCATGGATCGGATGTAGAATGGCGTCGGTTTGATCAATGCTAGATATGGGAAGGGCAAAAGCAGTTGTCCTCACTTATAACAATGGTGTAGATTGAGACATACCCCCGTTTCGTCTGCACTAATGCTAGCGATCTTCACGTCCGCACTCGGCGAGATGTTTCTGTTGTGAGAAGCACTCGGCCACATGAGACAATAAATTGTGCTAGAACAAATAGAGTGCGATATTACAAGTGTACTCGGATGGAAATGCAGACTTTCCCAATTCCTTTTGTCAAGATTATCACGAAACGGCCCTTCCAGGCTACTCCCCACCGATGTGTTTGCGCCCCCTTGAGCACTCGTCGTGCTAAAGTGGTTCGACGTTCCGACCGTTCCCCCTTCGGACTACAGGCGAAGAAAGACGTGGACTCTTCCGGCCTACCAATCATGACTGCCGCAGCGCTTCGTCAGGTAAGAGCGTGTCCGGTACGTGTGTGTGTGTTCTTGTCACGGCCAACCCGCGCGAAGGCACACTAGGTATTCACGGTAGTGTTGTCGTACGTGTCTTTAACAACTGATCGGAGTTGAACACTTGCACTCCTGCTGTGTAGCTCCCAGACAGTTCACTTTTCCGATCCCCGCACCCCTTACCCGGGTCGGTTTTGCGGCCTGTACCATCTGGGGCATTCCCAATATAGGTAATTTCGAGGCGAGATACACAAGGAAGTGAGGGCCGCAGCCCACATCCTGCACTTCCAAATTCTGGACCAAAAACACCCTTGTCGAAATTCTCTTCCACCCTGTCCCGATCCCCGCTATCCACCGCTCTGCGGAAAAACATCGCTTGGGGGCGAATCAGGTGGCAATAGACGATGAAGGGTACGAGACGCCAGAGCTGAACGACCGCCTCTACCTCCACTTCAAGGTAAAACACACGATCTCACCTACAGGCTTGCTATTGATATCATTGTTGTTGATGGCAGCACTGCCGATGTCAACATCGAAGCATGGTGTTCCTTGGCGTCCAGTGACTTCGTAACGAGCACCCAACCCCACAAATACAGCACGCAACGTAAATATTCGAGCAGTCATACCATTCAGCTGGCGGGCGTGGGTATGTCAACACAATTTCGGCCTGCTCGAGCCTTTTTCCGACATGCGCTTTCGAGTCGAGGCTGAATAGTTTTGGCGTACCCCTCAAAACGCTCTCCTACAAGGAATACTTTCCACAACCTTTGCACCCATTCCGGGACCGGGGTGTCACAAGCTTTTATCGACGAATAATCAATGACCAACCCGTCAGTGTGGTCATGGGGGTATGACAATAATCGTCGGCTTTCGTTTTTTTTTTTGAGTCCATTATGCCAGACACGACGCGACTAAATGTGATGTGTCGTCCAGAACCGATGTTGATTTTTTTGCTGAAGAGTAGCAACGTCTGCCGTGTTGTTTCATGAGCCACAACATGGTAAAGTAAGTTCTCGGCCGCGCTCACTTTCACAATGAACCCATCAGGGGTATCGCAAGATTCAAAACCTGGAGCCGTACACAAGCTTGAAGGCGCTGTGGTTGGGAGGGAACGGTATATCAGAAATACAGGGGATCGGTCACTTGAGGTAAGCCCCGCCGCATGCGGGCTTCGCCAAACATACTTGACTAGATGTTCTGTTTCGGGTGTTTTTTTCAGCCCTTGTTGACTTGATAGTCGTCATGAGCGGTACATCGTTGCTGCGGCATTGATTCTGTTCATAGGCCCTTCCCCTTTTCTCTGCCACTGTTCTTCATGATGCAGCCGTTCGCGCTGTCGTAGCGGACTGTGGCATTGTTGACCAGAAAGCATACATGTTGTCCAAGATGGACAGGTCGTGAGATAATTCAGCGTGCTCTGAATTTGACAAGACACTGTCGTTTACTCGTTGAGGCAGGCAGAATCATCCTCGTCGTGGCTACAGGTCTTGGTTGCCATATCTTCACCCGCTTTGCTCTCCGGCCACCCCTTGCCAGACGTCTCACAATAATCCTCGTAGCCACACGCCCGAGCGAAAGTGTGTGCCACTCTTCCCACCAGTGCCATCGCTCTGAGAATTCCTAGTCGCCGACCCCAAATTGTCGACAGAACAGTATGTTTTCGTTTCACCCATCTCATCGTGCCTCTAACCTTCGGTCGATCGTGTGGAACGAATTGGTGTATTGCTCGGTTCAGTCAGCTGCGGTGCCTGTACCTCGAGCGCAATCTCATCTCCACCATCAAGGGCCTGGAGGGGCTAGAAAGTCTGGTGCAGGTGAGTTCCCGCCACAATGCATTCGAGGGGCGTGGAGCGGTTGACGATGTCCGTCTGAACCCAGAACCTTATCATTACAGTTAGGTGGCTGCAAGCCGGCCTTGGGATTCTCAAATCACGAAGAATCTCGTCGCCGAAGAAACACGCACCCAACCTCCCTTTCGCTGACGAGAGTCGATGGGCAACAATATCTCCCTGAATTGTAGATGTTTCTTGTGGTAGGTTGGTCCATGTGGTTTCGAGATGCCGACGAGTCAAACCGACCTCAACTCACGGTGGCTTTCTTTCAAAAAGCATGTCGCCTCGTCTCATCCCCCGTCTCCGTCGCGCTCTTTCTCTCTCTCTTGTTCATACCTTGCTACATTCACCCCCAGCTGGACCTGAGCCAAAACCGCATCGAGTCCGCGCTCGGGCTTTCGTGCCTCCCCTCGCTGCACACGCTCAACCTCTCCAAGAACTCCCTGGGGGACGCCGCCGCGGTGTCCCCCCTGTCGGAATGCCCGTCGCTCACCAACCTCGACGTCACCGGCAACCGGCTGGCGGGACCCGGAGTTCTCGACGTGAGCGTTTCAGAGATGTACGCATATACGCATATCAAAGTAATCAAAAAACAAATTGTAACGTAAACAACGCCGATCTGTCTCGGGCAGTCGTGAACTCGGGACGTGGCTTCTTCCGTACGCGGGCACGTTGTCGCTCCTCGTGGAAAATCAGGATTGTCTGTCGGGATATTATCCGGAATTCCCGACCTCCTTCAAAAAAAGCGCCAAAACCGCCCTTCTTCTACGCCCACGTGTAGGTGCTGTCCGCTCTGAAGGGCCTGGTGTCCCTCAGCCTGTCCGGCAACCCCATCCTCGCCGAGACCGCCCACTTCAGGAAAACCGTCATCACCGCCTCCCCGAAACTAAGGTGGGTTGTAGCGCTCGCCTGTCGGGGCGCAAGTAGTCGACAGCCGCGGTGTTGGGTGGGCCGGGGCGGTCTGCATGTGCCACGTCAGTCTTGCCTGCCGGAAAAACACCGGAGTGTGATGGTTTCTGAGTGTCCGCATGTTCTCAAGCATCCCGAACTACCCGCCGGTAAAACATCGGAGTGTGACGGGTTTCTTCATGTCCGCAATATTCTCAACAGCATCTTCCACGAAGATTCACACGCCTGCGATTCAGTTAGGACAACGAAGCGCAACCGTACCGCACCCGGGCTTTGTGGAGGTCCCGCCGCCCTCGTGCTGTCCATCTTTGGTTGGCCTCTCCATAGTCACGGCCCTCCTGCTTCTCCTTCGGCTACATGACTTGACGCAAGATTTCGATTGGGCGTCGGAACTCTGGTTCTTCTCCTATCATAGGTACCTGGACCGACCGGTGTTTGAAGCGGAGAGGGTGGCGGCGGCGGCTTGGACTGTCGGCGGCGCGGAGGCTGAGAGGAACGCCCGTACGAGGCGAGCAAGCGCGGCCTGCTTGCTAAGTTTATTCAAAATTGTTGTTTTCTTTGTCGCATCGAGCCAAGCGGGACGCACTGTACCGAAGAGCCGAAACGCTGCTTACCTGTTAACGTCGTCAAATTATTTCGGAGCATACAATGAATGGAGGCGTTATTGTCAAGTACCTTTTCGTTTAGGGTGGTTCGCTCACACTTGTTCACTCTCTGCCGCAGGTACCAGGAGGAGAAGCGTAACGAAGACCGCAGACAGATGCAAGTCTTCAGGGACTGGCAGGTGAGGGAAGAAAAATCGAAAAAAATCCCGGGCTATGGTTGGGAGTGAGGTGTACTACCATAGGCCTAATCGCTTTGCCGGGAACACGCAGGGGTCAAAGATGGAAGAGAGATGCCGAGAGAGAGGTGGGCGGAGGAGGAGGAGGAGGAGGAGGAGGACCAGCAGTACAAAGAGAGGGACATGACTCGGTTTAATAAAAGACAGGATGGGCGATGGGAGAGAGCGAGCAAGGGATAGTGGCGAGGAGGATGGAGGATGAACGATGGACTTCAGCGAAGGGAGGGAAAACGCCAACAAGAATTCATTGATTTTGCCCAAACACCGCAACTATCTTCTGGTGGCCGTTTTTGATTGGGTTGCGATATTTTAGTACAATTATTGTACCAGCGCGACGATTGCGAGCACATGCAATGGAACGTATTGGAATATATCAACAATCTCCACCATTTTCTGGTGGCCTCCTCTCAAGCCCTCACTCGACGTTCGCCACTCCGTGGAAAGCTCAGGCGGAAATGAGGCAGAAGAAGCTGGCGGAAATCGAGGCTCGCGCAGCTGCCGGGCTTGGCCCGCTGGAGCCTACGCCGGAAGAGGTGAGCATCAAAACCAAGTGTCCCGATTGCGCCAAAAACGCCATTCTCAAAGCAACGAATGCCTTCATCACGCCACTTGGCCCGCTCCACGATACCATTATCGTCGTCGTTCCGTATGCCTCTACATGGATGTTATGTGAATCGCCAAGGATATTCAATCTTAAACCCATCGTCGCGTACGGCCAATCAACTCCCACGTGCATTTGAAGGAGCCCGAAAGGGTCAACAATCGATCATAGGAGAGGCCAATGTACCCGCAGAGAAAATGGTTATCTTCGAGTTAGCTTAGCATTTTCATCAAGGCTCTCCCTTTCGTTGTATTTTCCACGTTAACGTACGAAACACCAGCAATGTACTCAACCTCACAAAACGAAATGCGCGCCCCCTAGCGTACGACTTAATGTCTCTGAGCAGCCGCCAAGACGTTTGCCATCTGCCGTGCCCCCGGCCCACGGTACGTCGACGTCTCCGACCCACTCGATCGTGGTGCGGAAACCTGCCGCCGTTGGTTCCAGGTGCTCCGCGAGGCGGAAAGAGAGGGCAAGGCAAAGGCCGATGCGGAGGAGGACAAGCGCCTCATCAAGGAGGTAGGTATCCGTGGGCTGCACCTTTCGTTGAATTGCACTATTGGCAGGGCCTGATCTTAACGATGAGGGTGCGATCGCTCCCAAATCCAACCCAAAGATATTACTTCATCCAAGCAAGGCTGCCCCGCGTACGCACCACATTTTTCTCGCGGAGAAACGCTGTACGTGCTGCACATCACCACCATGATCTTCGTTGTTCCCGGGGTGATACTACCCACCTTCAGAAAAAGATCAAACCTCCCCAACGTCTGCCAAGGACGATGTCCTCTCCTACTTCGCACACACTTTTGAACAACCCCCCCCATTACATCCCGCCCCCCCGATCGAAAACTTGTTTTTTCCACGGGATCGACGCCCCTCCTCAGGTCGGACTGTGCGGAATCGCTGACGCTTTCTACGCTGCCGAGGGCAACAAGAACAACAACGCCTCCCACGGTTCCCGCCGCGATGTCATTGAGTTTCTAGCCGGCGCTGCAGCTTCATCCGCCGGGGCGGAAGGGCCCCTCCCAGAACCACCGTCCACCGTCGGAGGAGGTAAAGGGGGGCACGTAGATTGTTTTGGTTCGCGGGGGGGGGGGGATGTACTCAATAGTCGTGCATGCCGTAGTCGTTAGACCATTGACCTCGCATCCCTACAAAGCCGGGACGGAGCACGCCGGGTTCTCACCGGACCAGGCTCTCACATCACCAAGCGCGAAGCGCCGTGAGATATTCGGCGAGTCGCATGAAGGGTGCGCTGCATCCTGCTAAGGGTGTTCGGCATCTTGTGCTTACTTCCTTGCGTACGGATGACAGCTGCGTATGAATTAATTTATTTTCTGGTGCTTTCACTTCCAGAGACAGTTGTAAGCACTGTGTAACTGCCTCGAGGGTGCTTGACCATTTCAACACAACGTGGTGCGATCATCCCCCTGGCGCGGCGAGGGTTCTCCACCCCGCACAACATGATCTACTCGACCACCATTCATTATGGTTACCGCCAAAAAAAAAAAGGAGGTAAAAAAAAAAAAACGGTAACCTGGTTGCCGAGTTCACGAAGTGAATTGGCTTGTTTTACAACGTCGTTGCCAAGCGACGAAAACCCAATCCCGATGGCAAACACCGGGGGGGGCGGCTTGTTTTACAACGTCGTTGCAAAGCGACGAAAACCCAACCCCGATGGCAAACACCGAGAGGGGGGCGGGGCGGGGTTTAAAGTGGCATCGGCAACGGCAATAGCGCGGGGGACGAGAAGGGCGGCACGGCGCCTGGTGGCACGCGTGCAGGAGGTGTTATTGACGGCGAAACCCGGCCGGCATCGAAAGTTGGTGATGGTGGAAAGATTGTGAGGGGGTAAGGATGAAACGGTCTCAAACCGCATCGAACACTGGGTCGGCGACAACATCAGATACCATAAGGCCTTTGTGAGACGATCACTACCAAAGCGGCTCAGACAACTGCATACCCACCACCACCACAATCACGACAGGAGCATCGAGCATGTCTACCTCCACAACCAGCGAGACCGGCGACTGCAACGGCGGCAGCGACCCGAATTTCTCAGGAACAGGTAGAGCAGGAAGCCGGGGGGGGGATGACGGGGGAGGGGATCGTAAATCAGACAGCAGCTTTGACGACGAAGAGGAGGGGAAAGGAAGGGGGGGAGACGACGAGCGTCAGAAAGACCGCGACGACGACGACAAAGACGACCACAAGGAAGACAGCGAAGAGGGAAAGCTACCAAAAACAGACGGCGAGGAGAAGGACGAGGAGGAGGACGAGGAGGAGGACGAAGAAGAGATCCGCCGTGTGCGGGTAGCCCAATCTCTAGCCATGTACCGGTCCCAGCTCGCGGCGGAACGTCGTCTAGAAGAGGTACGTTTGCCACGAGCGATTTCAAAAGGGGCCAAGGGTCCAGGGGCCGAAGGAGGTGGTATTTGTGTTTATGGTGGTTGAAAACCGGGGACAAGGGATGCTTCGGAACGAGGTTGGACCCCACGGTGCAGCTGGCCTGGTAGGTCGAGCGATTCATGCCCAAAACAGCAAGGAACGTCGCAAAGGATGAAGGAATGTTGCTGGGCGCTAACAGTCTACAGTAGTCCATGTCTGGCTTCATGTGTCGAGAACCCCACAGGTTCTGTGGCCCGTCCGTTTCTCACTCCCCGTGTTTGGTGATCTCTTGTTTATGTCAGAGGAACCTCTACGGGGGGCACAAAGAGAAAACACCCGGGACTTGCGCCTGGTCGCCTCACGGCAGCCCTTCCCGCCACCGCGGCGGTGGTGCGGTTGCCGGGGGCTTTCAGCGCAGGTTGGAGGAAGCCTCCGCGGAGGTTTCGGCGGAGGCGGCTGCCTCGCCGCAGATCGTAACGGCCACCAGCGGACCACGAGGAAATCCGGCAGAAAACACGCAGCAGCCACAACGTCACCGTGGAGAACAGGTGCCTTTTCCAGGCGCAACAGAGGGATCCGGTATGTGCGATCCCGGTGGAGGTGTTGGTGGGGGTTGGAGTGGCGGCCGGCAGTGGACCGCGTCGAAGGACCGGGCACTGGCGCGCCTCGTGCGCGGATGTGAGTTCGACTTCGACCTGGTGGCAGCGCGCTTCTCCTCTGCTATCGCCAGTGGCGATCGTTGTGGTGAAGGTGATATATCGTTTTTTCGGTGGTGGTGGTGGTGGTGGTGTACTGTAGTTGACTACAACGTGTCCAATAGACTATGGTACACGCGTCCGAGAAAGCCGTGGTTTTCCCTGCTGTGTCGACCCCAGCTAAACGATAAAGTTCTCTACAACGCTTTGACGTCCGTGCAGCGCAACGACGAGGTGAACATCAGTTAGTTGTCGGTGGTGGTGATGGTGATGAACGCGGGTTATCCATGCCAACAGTCAATACTGTGAAACCGTCGCGCGCACGGAAAACACTGCTATGCCTGCGACAGAAGAAGCGGTTACCGCGGAAGAGTGCCGGGTTCGGTTTGCCCGCTTCGACCGCGAAGAGGAAGGCAATGCGGGCGATGACATGGGGGGCGGAAGCGAAGGTTACAACCACAACGCCGTTCCGGACCTTGACGCTATCCCTGCCCCCGGAGTGATCGAGAACGCGGGCCTATCGTTCGCAGATCTCGAGAGGAAGGCCAGGAACATGAAGTCCAGGTATAACAGCATATTGGTGAAATTGAGAGCGAAGCATGAAAAATTGAGAGCGAGAGCCCAAAAAATACAAAACTCCGGTCCAGACGCCTCTTGCCATTTCTTGGGGAACTGGGGAAGTAGGGGGCGGGCTGTTCCAAGAAGCGGCGCAAATTGAAGGTCTCATGTCTCATCAGCAGCGTCACGAGCATATGAGTGTCATCGTCATCGGATGCTGCAGCTAGGAGCTAGACAAGTTGCTAGATTTCCCCAGATTGGCCATTCCTGCCTCAAACTGTTGCAGGGCGGTTCGGCCTCGCGCGGTGAGCTCTACTGCAGCTTCTGCTCGCCGCTGTAACTCCACATCGAGAGACTTCCGCAGGATGACCAGGGTATCTGTAGCTACGGGCTGGCCCTTCAATTCAAGCTACACAGCAAGCTACACCTTTCAGCAGTAGTCCAGCTGCAGCGCATCGCGCAATCTCGCTCTCAATCAGATGCTTCGCGCTCAATTTCACCAATATGCTGTTGTATGTATTTCCTGTCAGCATGCACGGCATCCTCTGACTTTCTATTTCACATGTTGGTTCTCCTATATATAGGTGAAGAACAGAGTTCTAGAGTAAATGTTCTCCAGCGACACCACAAGAAACGCCCCCATGTTCCTGCTGTTGTCACAAGCCATGTCTCGGTTGTTTCGGGACTCCCTGCAGGTTTCTCGAGCCACCGAAGGACCTACCCTCAACACGCGACGGGGACGATCGTCTTGACGGCGACGATGATGCCAAAGATGGTGACGCTGATTATGGTGATGATGGTCGCGACTTGATCACGAACAACAAGAAAAGAACGACCACCAATATCCCCAGAAGTAGCGACGCGGACGGCTGTGCCCGAAAAGACTATGCCATCCGTGACGATGGCGCTCGGGTTGGGGCAACGAAGGAGCCGGTCCTGCTTGTCATCAACGACCCCGGCACAGCTAACGCTGACGGCGGACGTGGCAATTTCGACAGCAATCGTTCCAGTGACAGTGGCTCCGATGGAGAAGACGACGAGGTATGTAGTAATAGGATGTGTCACACAAAGGTTGTGTGCAGTAGTGGCGACAACTAGTTGTTGTTGTTGTTGACTTCACATTAAACCGTATGCCAGTTGCTAAATGCCAAAATCTAGCAAAGACTCCCAGCCCGTGGTCACGAAAGTGCTAGAGCCATCTGAGGATCTAAAGAACACGCACACGTAGCAAGAAAAAGGTATCCAAGAGCCCGAAGAGGTACTACTACACCTATATATAATCCCTGCAGCACCGTACGCGTGCCCAAAACTGAACTACACGTCCGTCTCACCGTTCGACTACAGCAACATCACCCCCTACCTGTCCCACTCTGTACCAAAACGAATGATTGCCGACTACAGCATACTTGCTGTCTGAAGTGCTGTCTGTACAAAAACACCATGGTAGGCATGGAACAAGAAGCTGGCGGGGCACAAAGCTGCTGTCTGAAGTGCTGTCAGAATGTGTCTGCGGCCGTACAGTGAAAAAGAACAACCAACCAAAGCCATCATAGCAGCAATTGACAATCACCCGAATCTCTCCCGATCGTCTGTGTTAGGCACTGCAGTGAAAAATATCGACACTAGCTAAGAATCGTTCCACATTGAAGGGGTCTTCCACGATCAGGCACATAACCAAGGCACCCGGGTTAGCCACGCCATCTCTGACGGGTCTCTCTACAAAACCAGTGACGACGTCATCACATAGAACCAACACCGAAAATCAGGAAAAAAACGAGAAAAATTGACAACACAGATCAGACACAAATGTTTGTCTGTGCGCCACGGGTCGATGTCGCCCGCATGCTCCGGTGCCGCTGCTCCGTCCGGCGCCGCTGTAGTCAGCCCGAGCATAACGCCACTCGACCTGCTCCGTCCGTACACGCTCTCGTTGCTGTCCTTCCCAGTCTAGATTACTGTGGTTTGGGGAACAAATGATCCCTAAGAAAAGGGAGTAGGTGTCTTGATATGTTCCCCTCTCCTCGTTTATTCCGCCGTCGCGACCTGTCGTGTGTTGGGAACCACACGTTTCCAGGTACCGACTCGAGCGCAAATCAAGGGCATGGCGAAAAGGACGCATCCATCAAATAGCCCGACGCTGCCCGGCGGAGGGCGGGCGATTTGAGAAACGAACGACGAAAGAGCACGAACGCGCATAGCCGGCACGTTTGTGCAAATCCACAGCGGCATGAACGGAGATGGCGTCATTACTTTCGGGTACCCTGTTCGTTTCGAAGGGATACTGTATGGCTTCGAATTCTGGTGCATGCCGTCTGGGCGGAGCCGACACCCCGGTGGGCAAACAAATTGACGGGGTACAGCCAAAAATTTTCGCTGTCTCTTGGTCATGAGTTCACTCAAGGTTTGTCCCAGACCTCGGTCGGCCGTCGCTATCTTCTGTGTTCGGGGGGAAATAGAAAAACCGAGCGTAAAAGGTACGGCGAGAGCTACCGATATCCTCTCGATGAAAGAGCGTGAGGCCGACAAGACTTGAGCGAGAGAAACTCCTCCCACGCATGAGCAGCCGCGACTCAAAAGCGTATGGGATGTGGGAGCGCGCTGCAGCGAGGCTTTGCTCGCCTTATATACCGCAGCTTAGATGTCAAAACAAAACATCGATCCCGATCTTTTGGTGTTCGTTGCATCTCCGTCACAGTGTTGGGGGTTTTCACTCTTTTCGTGAGGTGCCGAAGAGGGCAAGGGACGAGTTTACCAGCACACGCCTCTCTAGACCTGCACAAAATGACGTTACAGCAAAACGGACCGTCTAGCAGCCAATCAATCGAACAACGCTCACGACCCACGAGGCGGGCATCTACAACGTTACGCGGTCAAACTCTAAACGCAAAATAACGCAAAAAAGTCGACAGACTCGGCATCCGCCCCGCCCCGCCCCCCCTCTCGTGTAGAAACCGCTCTCACGGCAACAACCGAAAGACAAAAATGGAACAAGAGACTTTATCGACGGTGTCGACGAACTACCATCTGCCGGGCATTTCGCCAGAACACACCGCGCGTTGTTTCTTATGGTATCCCAAAAATATTCCCACTCCTCAATTCGAGCAAAAATTTAAAACGCCCCCAGCACGAAAAGTAAACGGGGTGACCGGTTGGTCCTCCCTCCGCTCTAGTTGAACTGGACGTGCGAGCCGAGGATTTCGTTGATCACGTAGGGGGTGTTGTCGATCTGCTCGTGCACCATCAGGGCGAGGATGCCCATCTGCGCCGCGCGGCCATTGTTGAGTTCGATCGCCCTCTTATTGGCCTGCTCCTCCTCCGTCCATGACTCCCACTCCTTCTCGAAGGGGTTGATGAGCGACATGTCTCCGGGGAAAGACCCCTCCTTCTGCAACATAACCTGAAAACGCATACAAGCCGAGCAAGGGCAGGGGCAGCTCAGAGGTCAGTGCTTCCGGCACCGCACATGTCTTCGCGTCAGGAGGTGGCTCAAGTACTTGGTCAGATAGCGTCTTGACAGAGCAAAGATACTGAACGACAAAAAAAAAAACGCTGCCATGATGCTCTGGAGGCAACGCCAGCCACGGGAAAGGGCTGGGAACTACAAGGGCCAAGAGGCGAGTGAGTCAGGCATCCGTGGACTGCAAGGGCATAAAAACAAACTTGGGTGAACAGAGCACAACCAAAGATCGCCGGGGACTTTCGCCCCTGGCAGCGAGGGCCCAAAGTTGCAACCAATCCACACCTCCAGGCAGGAGTCGACCCCAAGGGCACCAACAAGAAAATGCGAGGCCCGCCTGCGTTGTTCTCGCAACATTTTAGTTCTAGTTGACGAAACGCCGACACCTCCGCACACGCACACACCTTGGTCTCAAGGAACCCGATGAAAAGGAAGATCTGGGCCAGGCCGTAGAGGGGGATCTTGGAGATGGCGGCGAGACCGTTGGGGCAGTCGGCGAACGCGAGGTTCGCGGACGGGGCGAGCATGCCGGGGAACCGGAAGTTCTGGGCGGTGATGTGGCCGAGGATGGCGAGCATTGCGATGCGGCCGTGCTTGATCTCCACGTACCGGAGGCGGTCGAAGCGCTCCTGCACACGACACCAACAAGGGGCAGGGGGAAAAAAGGAAAGCAACGATGACAATCAACTTCCTGAGAAACATTTGACTTAACGTAACAAATGCAACATAATAGCATGGCAGCTTATCACTGCACACGGACCACAGGACTGTGCTCGGATGTCGAATCAACAACGACACCGCCGCAAAAAACTATCTCAAGCCACGTAATCGATCGTGTAGTAGTCGGAGTGCGGTTCCCAACCCCACGCAAGAGTCCGCGTGAAATGACGGGCATCCGAAGCGCCACCTGGGCGTCTCTCCATCCACCAATGTTATGTCGATGCAAGGCGGTGAGGACATTTGACCAATACTATTCAACAGCGTTTGTCTGTGACGCACCACTCTGATAACCACCAACCGGCCTAGTACGGCGGAGGGAAAGAAAAAACACCAACCGCCGCACCACGAACATCACGCCAGGCCGGCTACGCTGTTGACGCGAAACACGACACGAGGCCCGTGGGAGAGCCAGCAACACCGACTGAGTTGAGGCTGCAGAACTGCATAAACTCAGCAAGACGCTTGTGATTTTGCTACAGCAGGCATCGGCACACGCAACCCCGGAGGAACTCTGTTCGCAAGCCCATTGCCCCCTTCAGGGACTGCCATCCTCATCCGACGCCATGACGTACATTGAACGACTTGCGCTTTCCAACGGTCGTCTGACAACAAACGAGAACCTCAACAAACTTCGGTGCTATCCAATCATACCACATGGATGTACCTTGTCACGTCCACAACCTAATTGACAAACCAACATACGACGTGTACGCCCGCCAAAATAGAGTTGGCCGAGGCGGCACCAACTAACCTGGGAGGGGTCCTTGGTGAGAAGGCCAAGGGGATCCCAGTAGCCGATGGGCGCCTGGGCTCCGATTTCGTTCTCGAAGGACATCTTCATCGACGAGGACGCGGGCTTCGCGGCGGTCAACGACGCTCCCTTGAACGCGCTGAAATATCGAAAGTCATGAAACGTCGGCCGGAGGGGGGAAAGCAAGCGACAACGACGAGCATGAGAGCCGATAGTCAGTGTCGGATTGTTGATGCTCTTGTCCACGCCATCGCAATTAAAATTGAAAAATTGGCACACGAGAAAGGGACAGCAGCGGGCAACAATAGTCCCTTGACAAAACAGAACCAGCGTATAAAAATAAGGCAAAATCTGTTCCAATGAGGAACAAAACATGAACAAAGGACGAAAGGGGGCAGCACCTGGAGAAGCCGAGTAGTGCATTGGCAAAGAGAGAATTAAGCAGCATACATGTTCACGGCAAAAACATGACAAACACCTTCACGCGTTTTCTTGATTCGACACATCGGTATTGGATCCATTTTCATCCATGTCATACACACGCGCGGCCACGCGGCCCGCGTTTGGTGCTTCCCGGTCCATGACCACAGCCGAAAACTGGTGCCCGTTTTGCAGGTTCTACAGATTTCGGCTGTCGTTATTTCCCGCGCAAACACCAACACGGGTGGGGTTTGAACCACGACGTGTTGCTAGGTCATCAGTCAACCAAGGCTGAATGTTTTCTCGGTCGTACGGTCTCGATTGGGTCCCATCTACAACTGGCGGACAACATTTCAATATTTCGGCTCTGGTTAATACCGCGCGGCAACACCGAATGGCATGCGATATGAATGGGCATGGACTCGACCAGGACGTGTCGAACTTCGAGCACACGCGAGTACACGTGGAGAGAGAACTGCGTGCCGTGCCGATATTCACACCTCGGCGGTGGCTACACGAATCTCTTGACATAGCTTTGGTAGATATTGTTTACACCTGTCGTCGGGATCGGGCGCCGTCTCATGCATCAAGGGCACGGATCAACTCCCGACTGGTGCCGTGAGGCAGTCGACCACGGCCAGCATGAGACAACCACAACGAGATCGATCCATCCATCGCAAATATTAACCGCCGCGGCAACGGGCACCAGGCCAAATGCTGAGGGGGGGGCGACAAGGTCGCTCGGCGCACAACCCGGGGAGGTATTTTTCCCCGATATGTAGTCCTAGCCCACGGTCCGAAACAACCACCACATGGTGGCGTAGAGCCAGGCCGCCGAGATCGGGTCTCTCAACTGCCGACGCACATGGCCAAAGAGGAAATAGCTTAAAGATCTTGGACGTTTAACTTTCCGCTATTGGATGGTCTTCACGGAATACACCAACCAGAACGCTAGAAAATGGAAACATCGCGGAAATGGCGGGGGGCGTGGGATACCGGGGCGGGCAGGAGAGCGACTGGGTGTCTCGTCTAGGAGAGGACCTCGTGGCCTTCCACATGGGAGACGAAAAGGAAGGGGGGAAATGGAAAGAGAGCGCCAAGAACTCGGAGGTGTGGTACAACAAGGTCGAGGACGGGGCGGCATGGTTCATGAGGAAATGGCACAGGCAGGAGGCGGAAGCGTCCGCGAAGCGCCAGCGCGCGCGGGAAGCAGAAGCAGAGAGTACGACCATCTCAGGACCGAAGAGAAAGAGAACCGGCGAAGCGGCGGTGGGGGGGAAGAAACGGCGAACGGGCACTGCTGTAGAAGCGAGTAGGGCGGCCGAGGCAACGCTTGTGGCGAACTATGCACCCGGCTGATGTTGTTGCGCCCGGTTTCCCTCCCTGCCGTATGCTATACTCCTTTATGTATGTCCTTGTATTGCCTTCGGCCTCTGTGCTGTGTTTCTTTTT